GAAATAGTTACTACAAAAACGGACCAGTGGATCAAAAATTATTCACAGTTAAATATTATTGGAATTTTAATAGTAAATTCCAAAAATCCGCCGATATGTTAATATATACAGATACTATAAATATAAAACATTTCATTAACAAACAACAATTAAGAATCTAATATGTAAGACTCTAGCTCACAACATGCTTCTGTTTGTTACAACCCATTTTTAGTTACCTTATTGGGAAAATGAAGTATACAAATTTAGAATTAATTTATTTGAAGATTAGAAAAATTGATCTCGTAATATTTTTTCATTAGTGCTCCTAGTTTAGAATCAGTTTCTCTGCATTTTTTTTTTTTGCTTTAGTTTCACTATTGGATTGGTTAATTCCTCAAAAAAGAGGGAATGGCTAAAGTTAGGTACACCACGGATATACAAGATTAACATTAAAATGGGTCAGTATAGACTACGATTTGGGCATGTATTATAGAAAACAATAACTCCCCAACATTTTTGTTGCATCAAGATATGTTTAGACATCCGTTTCTTGTATTTTTCGTATTTTCACTTTGCTCGTCAGTGTATACAAAATCCATGATTTGATTGGTCTAATGATATATACGTATGTTGTGCGTCAGCTGGATCCTTGCAGTCTGACGCACTTCAGATACGTAACTACCGGATGACCAGCATTAAATGATCTGCAATAATTGGCCTAAATTACCCAGTGATTTTCACCCTTACCTTAATCTTAACTCAGGCCGGGCGTCATCTGAGGTATATATTGGTTTTAGCTTACACCCCAAATAAGGAAAGAGGATAATGGTGGCTAATAAAAATATACGTAAATTTATGATCGTCAATAAATAAAATTTCATTGCGATACGTATTTGATCTTTTATAAAACTGAAAAGGAAATAAAGTAAAATAACCAACACGTATATAATATTATTATACAGCATTATTTATATTGGAGTAGCGACATTTTATTCTGCTAAAAAATTGACTTGTCCATCTTATTAGTTGATATTGTATCTATTAAAAAAAATTGTATATTTCTTAAAAGTTCTATATAAACGTAAAAATGAACTTTAGTATGAATAATTGTCGATTTTTCAAGCTTTTCAAATTTTATATTCATTCATTCATTAATAATTCTTTTGCTTATAAAGAATTTAACTATGAAGCTAATAATTACTTTTTGTTACTTGTTATTCTCATCATTTGTAATCTCTGGTTCTACAGCTATATCTAATACCAATACTACTATTTCTCCCGTAGCAAGTAATTATGTAGATACTAAATCTCCACATTTTACCACTACATTTAATACCCATACTGCTATTTCTTCTGTAACTCATAGCACTCAATCTCCACATTCTACTACTAGATCTAATGCCAATACCGCTATTTCTCCTGTAGTAACTCATGATGTAAATGCATGTGGTCCCAAATATAAAGCAGCTCCCAATGGAAATTG